TAGCACAGGATAAATATCTGTCCGTTTTTAATGCCTTTTATATGGCTGTGTCTGTAAGTATATATAATGTCACTAAATTAGTAAATAAATATGACGAGCACATTTTTTTACAAATCGTTTTTCCTGTATTCATAATATAGAAAAATTACATAACATCAGAAATAAAAAAAACATTCTGCATAGTATTAGCAACTTTGTATTGGTAATTTGGCTGCTGGCTGGGCCTCAAAAAGCATGGTCACAAGATGGCAGAAATATAAAGGTGATTGCACATGGTTTATATCTCATAGATTATTACGTAATAAATTACATTAAAAAACATAAAACAGATTAAACATATTTCTGTCTTACATAAATGTATCAAGATGTACACAAACAAACATAATAAACAAAACAAACATAAAGTCCATTAATTATAGGACTATAAGTATAAAGTTTTAAACGGATCGAGTCCGATTGAGTGTTCAAGGACGGCGATAGTTCCTTAACATACCGCATTTCGTAAAGAAGACACTCGTACTTTCCTTGGCATTTTCGAAGAATTGAAACTAGCAACCTTCAATTCTCGACGCATCCTCTTCGTGATCTTCCCTCACATGCTTCCCGATTACCGACCGCTTGTGCTCATCAATGCGCTGATGTAAGTGCCGACCAGTATAGCCAAATAATCTGCATCGCACAGATCACATTTATATCTGTTTATAATATAAGTGTGATACAACAGACGATTTGATTGGCTAATGCGCGTGCATCGTGACGCAATAATGCACTGTGATCTGTGGCACTGCCTTGCTCTTTCTCCGTTTTTCCCCCTCTTCATCACTGCTTTTTAGCCAAAAATATAAACAAAACTATATAGCATTTAAAATACAAAATTTACCAGAAAGCAATAAGGAATAGACCAAAGGAATAAAGCAATTTTCTATAGTTCTACGTGTATATATGACCGGCTTGACATTCGTCGAATTTGTTGTTATCTCGACAAGTTTTGGGTAAAAGCGTACAAAATAGCCGAGAAAAAACTTGAAAAAAGGAAGACCAAATACATACAAAACGGCAACAAAAACTGAATATATAAGTGATTAAGGAAGTACCTTTAATTCTTCTGATAATAACTGCTAGATATATTTTCGGAAATTTCGAAAATTGAAACTGAGTATAAACACGATGAAACCTACGACTTACCGTCTTTCATGGCAAATCCAGCAGCCCAGATGCTGAAAAACTTTCGCAAATTAGTCTGTGTGTCACTGTTTTTTTATTTCTACTATTTTAAACAATTTTCCGGCTTTATAGCATCAAAAGTTTGTATATTGTTTTGGCAATTTTGCTGCTTCACTCGCTAAAAAATTCAAGCGGCAGTAAAAGCATGCGCGTGATGTCACTGAGTACATGTTAGGAGAATTTCAACGTCGATCTTTTGAGTAAAATTGTTTACTATGTAATATCTTCTACCTTATAATACTGGCTCTAATGCTCTACCAATCACCGAATCAAGGCCTGCAAGTTGCGCACGATTTCAGACGAGTTCTGATCTTTAAACGACAGGGCCACGCAAATCACATTTCTTTTCACATTTTTACATACATTTTTGGACAGATAAATACACTCAGTTTAAGATATTTCATTATAGCTGTTTGTGCCACAGGAAAAAATCGAGCGAGACCATGCATCAACGAGACAAGGATATACTGCATAAAATATATGCATTTCGAACATCTTGCCTTCCTTACCTTCCAGTCCATTTAATGCATTGCAAATATCAATATTGATAAACTTGATTTTCATTTTTTAGAAGCTGTAAAAGGCGACCTGCGTAAATTATTAGACTTTTTTTATTTTTCTCAAAATTGATTATTACAAAAAACAGATGTAAATAAAATATTTATTAAGGGAGTAATTAAAGGGACATACAATACTGTGATAATCTATTCGCACTGTTTGATAAACGGACTCGGTGAAGTGGATGAAGCTAGGTTTTCGCCAAGGTTTAAATAGTTTTACAGCCCGTGTCATCCTAAGGCCTCCCATTTTCTAAAATAGAGTTTCGCAACTTGATATGAAAATGATATACGCATCCATACAGAGATTTAAGCCAAAAAAAAAACAAATTTGGCTCTGAAAACGCAGAAAACGACCATTCTGGACTTAACATTTTATGGGTGAGTATGCTTCCCGACCCTCATAGCTATTCAAGCATGTAATACGTCATGGACCCATGCCTCACAACTGCATCATGACAGTCTGTTCTCCTCGTAAAAAACGGGCAGTTTTAAATTTTTCTTAGGATGACCCATACGGGTATATATATTATACAGGATTCATAATTCTAAGCCAACCGATCACCACATGATTGATGAGATTCTAACACTTTTTAGTGTAAATTTCAAGGTGACTATTGATTTTTCTGCATTTTGATTGGTCAAGATTCACTGTCTCTGAAGTGATAGTCACTGGTCAGTGACTATAGCTTTTTTCAAAATGGCTGCTCGTTTTGCCGTAGTAACAGAAGAGGAAATTGCCAAAATTAAAGAAGATAGCATTTCGAAAAAACCCAAACAAGCTACAAAATATGGTTTAAAAATATTTCAAGGCAAAATATTAAACTTTACGTGCTTTTATTTGGAAAAAAACTGGCTAAGTCGCAACGCGACACAGAGCAGTGTCTGAGATTTAAATTTTGTAAACAAGCTATTTATAGTGAAAATAAATTTATTTGAAGTGAATTTTTATAAAGTTGTGTGGATTATTGTTTGTCAACACCTAGAAATTTATAGTAAAACAATTAGTCGCCTCAGGCTCGGTGATTACAAGCCTATATTTACTTCGCCTTCGGCTCAGTGAATATAGGCTTGTAATCACCTCGCCTTTGGCGACTAATTGTTAAATATTACGCGTGTCGCATATGCACGCGGCTTTCAGTATCAGTTTCAGTTTTAAGTAAAATGCCTGCATTACGCACAACTGTCAGTAACGGTGGGGGGTTTTTGTTGATTGGAACATAGACCAGTCCAATGACGTGGAAAGTACCATCCAATGGGAATCCAGTGGACCTCCTCATTTGTTCAGCAAGTTTGGTGAGGTCAATTAACGTACAAAATTCTGTAATTGAGACTTAAATCACTAAGAATTTTAAAGATACAAAGGCACATTGGTGAGTGCGGTAGAATCTTCAAATAGTGTATTAATTGATTTAATATTGTGAAAGATCGAGTGAAGGTTTTAAGCAAAACAAAGTTATCAGAGGTAAATTACATCAATGTTATATATACCATATCGCACCATATAATTTCATATTGAATGGTCTTTGCCTGTGTAGGGTAGTGCCAATAAAAACAAAAGTTCCTTGGTATGGGGTGCAACTATACCTGGAAAATACAAGAAGAATTTCTCCTGGTATTTTTCAGTTAGTTATACGTCGCTACCAATTAAAGTTTTGTTTCACTGTAAACCCTGTCCTAGCCAAAAATAATGCTAACTATTACACAGGCGGAATCTTTCAAAGAGATCTGGAAGTCGCCTCCAACCCCGACAAGTGCGAAGAAAAGTGATAAAAGCGAGGAAGCACTCAACACCACGAAGTCTGTGACTAGCTGTGAGACAAAGAACAGTGAGACAAAGAACAGTAACAAAAGCAGCAGTTATATAACAAAGAAACGACAGAATAATATGGCTAGTAGTGCAGACGAGGATGTTAGGAAGAAACAGAAGACCAAAAATGAAAAGAAAAGTTCATATTCCCTACCAGGTGCTTTGGGAATGGGAAAATGGCAACATGCCAGCATTACCACCGTCCCTTTTGGTTTGTAAGTCAAGTTCCAGTTCAAGTGTTCGAGAAATGTAAGTTGAACTTTTTTAACAGAAATTGGCGACAAAATAGCCACCGCTTGTATACTATTTTACATTTCATCCACACAATGAACGAACGATCATTTTTAACAGTGAGAGTAGTGAGTACATGCGGTAGTGTACAAGCAATTAATGTTAATGAATGCATACCTGAGTTGCATGTACAATGTTTAAAATTAATAGAAATACAGCAAATATGTAAGTAGTGAAAGACCCCACTATGGAGTTCAAAGGGATGCCGCTAATGACGTCACTTTGCTCAGCTAGCACTCTAGCAACGGAAGTAATTAGTATGCAAAATTTATGACGTCACTCGGGCAAGCCTGGCCCTAACCTTGGAGGTAGCGCGACCAGTTAACGCGGACAAGTCTGGGCCAAATGTGGCATGTGATCAATTAGCATTACAGTAATGAGAGCAATTAGCGGCACAACACAGTAACGCGACCAAACGAATTATCAGAGATTATAAATATCGTGTATCAAACACACATATCATTTCTCACTGTTGCATTTTGGCGAGTGGTCTCTGGTTCTCAAGTGTTGTCTGGTGGATTGCGTTGGATTGTTTTTTAAAATGGCCCATTCGGTAAGTAAACGTAGCGTTTTGAATATATGTTTACGATATTTTCAGAGTCATAGGCTGGATAAAGTTGTTTTTGAATATATGTTTACGATAGTTTTAGATTAATATGTTTATGATATTTCTAGATTAATATGTTGGATCTTATCAAAGCTTGTGAAGCTGAAAGTGAACTCGACTTTCTTCAGGAGTCGTTTGTTCTGACTGATGAGCAGAAGGAAGCTGTTCATCAACAGCGCATTATATTTTGGACGAACGCGATGGCCGAAGATATTGAACGGGAGAATCCGGTTGGAGTTGTTGATGGCTTCATGGATAATTGGACCGAGGATCAACGTCGCCTGTTCAACGAAGTCTGGGCCAATGATGATGGTTTATGCGAACTCGAACAGTTACCTGAACCGCCAGAAAACCAAATGGGTGAAGGGAGCAAGCGAAAGCATGCCAGTGATGACGCCCCCTCAAAACGCCAAAGACCAGAGGAGTATTTCACTATTAAATCGGCGAAACAAATCAACGTGAGGAAATTCAGGACGACAGGTACACATTAAATTGTTTTTATATTTTTAAGCGTAACATCGACTACGTGTGGGATATAGATTGTTATGTGCGAGTAAGGTTTCGTTTTTATTAGGCTACATTTACACTATACCGGATTGCTATCGGAGTGGGTCAAATTTTGTTGGTATCGAAAAGCTGTGAAGATTTTTAATCTCAGAGACCCAAATAAAAATGCCGATTCTGTCAAACTAATAAGCATTTGCTACTAGCCATTGCTCCGTAACGGCAAAAGAAGATGTAGTGACCAGCGAATCCGGTATAGTGTAAACCGGGGCTTATAAGAGTTATGTTTATTGCTTGTGTGTATATCTGTAACTGGCTGCACAAACCTATCCAACGCATAAGCTTTTTTATAAATGGCCATAACTCTCAAATGAAGCTTTAGTATTTACAGGGCTTACGATTTGAATTGTAGCTAAATTTTCCAAGTAGCACTATCCGATAAATAGCCTTATCTGTACAAACCACGACCCCTCCGTTTTTAGGTATTCTATTCTGGTGGATTATTTTATATTACTGGGGTAATCATGTTACAGCTATAATGATTATTGCTGTATGTCCAATGAGTGATAGCTTTAAAGTTTGTTCGTTCACTGCAATCAGAGATATAAATCATGTTGACCGTTGGTTGTCCGTTAATCTCTCACTGTGGACACACGTTGCCATGAAAATAAGACGCAGGCCAGGCCGAAAGTGTTTACATTTCCACAAGCCTAGGCCTGGTCTAGGTCACCACTTGTAGTGAGCCCAGATTTCCAGGCAAGCCAAAGTCTGTTTACAATGTCAAAATGTAGGCCAAGGCTAATCCAAGGCTTGTACTGTAAACACGACTCATGAAATGTTGGGTGTTTAAGGCTACTTGTTACCAACCACAGTCTTCTGATTGCTATTACTTGGTTAGTACAATAGTGTATTACGGTTTTTTAGGTACAGACTACACTGTCCAATTCAATCCGTTGGACGTGCATGGGGTGTCAAACGTCATGTCGACGTTGAACCGCGCATTTCAACACTTATTTGACCGACTTACGAGTAATATGGCTCCTCACGATCAAGTTCGCTTGACCTCAACTCGCATCAGCTGGATAAATCCATTTCCTTGCCTTTCCTACAACGCGATCGTTTAACCCCAGAACGTTTCCTAGCTGCTATTGAACGTGTCGTACAGTCCAATGATCAATTTACTTTGGATGACTTTGTCAGCGTCAACGTGGTTCATATGGAAATGCCCAACGGTGCCGGTAGAAAACGACGTGACGTTGTGAACTTGGAAAGTTACTTAACGAAAAAACGAGGCATAGTTCAAGTCAAAAACAAAGATGATCTCTGTTGTGCCCGCGCGATCGTGGTGGCAAAAGCAATATTGGACAAAGATCCGCAGTACAAGAGTATCGTTAGTCGCACTGGTACACTGCAAGATCGTTTAGCCCAAGAACTTCACGAGTCAGCGGGTGTTTCTCTTGGTTCCTGTGGCATCCCAGAAATCAAGAAGTTCCAAGCTGCTCTTCCTGGTTATCAGCTGAACGTGATCTCTAAAGAACATTTGAACGCTATGATTTATTCCGGTCCTGAAGCTGAGAAACACCTATACTTGTACCACCATGACAACCATTTCGACGTCATCACCAGTATGCCTGCCTTCCTCGCCCGTAAACAGTATTGCCATAAATGCAAGAAGGGATTCGACAAAATCACCAGTCACCCGTGTGGGGATCTGTGCAAGCTGTGTCATACCCAGAACTGTTTCCTCGTTGAATGGAAATTTTGCAAAGACTGTAACCGTTTCTTTAAAAGTGACGAATGCTTCAAACGCCATAAAGATGACGCCGGTCCTGCCAAATCCTTGTGTTGTGCTTTAATTAAATGTAAGAAATGTAAACGTGTTGTTACTCGTGCCAGTCTTCGTGATCATCATTGTGGCAAAGTGAGATGTTCCACCTGTCAACATGGACAACATGGCGTCCGGTAGCACCGCCACGAGTAGCTAGCTGGCAAGATGCTTTTAACTTAGATCTATTGAGCGATAAGAATATTGAAAAGTATCTATTTAGTAATAATAAAGGAAATCTAAAATGGTATGGCGATTCTGTGTTACTACAAGAGTTATTTGACCATCTACTACAACATCAGTTAATCAGGTCGAAACCAGGCGGTTATTGTAGAAAACTCGAAGGAGACGGTTTTACAATTAGATGGTACTCCGATAACGGCACGCTGACAGTTAGCGAAGCGAAGGAGGAAAAGATTAAAAGATATCTTCAACACATTTTGACAAAAGAACCAGACTCTATTATTGATATGTCGGTAAGTCACTCAGACAAACATGATATCGATGGGGAAAACCTTAATGTCAATGACGGCGTATCGCAGTATGAAACATCATTGAATCACGGTAACGAATCGGACAAGACAAGTATAGATAGCCTGTCGACTATTCTTGAAGAATTTAAATCTGTTGAACGGAGATTAGACCGAAAAATTGATGATATTGCTCTCGACATACGCAGAATTAAAGAAGCAGACAATTTCAAATTCCCCTTGTCACGCGATTAAGTTAATCACATTACGGAAGAAAATATTGCACTAAAAGCTGAAAATGCTGCCCTGAAAGAGAAAGTAGATTATACAGTGTTGGTAATGTCCGACTTAAACACAAAATTAAAACTTCTCGAGGAAGAAAAGCAGAGCTTGATTACGGCATTAAATATTCTTCAAGTTAATGAATTCAAAAGCAACACACAAAACCCGGGACAATATGTATTAGCTAATATACAAAACGAGAAATCACAGCCTGAACAGCTTGAAATATCATCGGACAGTGAATATAATATTCCACTAGCAAATAGATATTCTACATTAGCTGACGAAGGCAAACTGAATGAAGATGAACGTGAACAAACTACCCAACAGCAAGGGCAAGCGTCTGTAATTACAATGGAGTTAAATGTTCAACAACAACAACAACAACAATCTACCTGCAATCAATCATCTGAGCAATGTAACTCGGACGTGCGGGTGAACCATCCATCGGATGAACCATCTAATAATGACAACTCCAAAGGCACCAAGCAAGCAGAAATGGCAAAGACGAAAGGTCACATTCGGCCTGTTGACTCTAGGAACAGTGTCAATCAAGGTACCAGTAAATCTAATAGCGATAATGAAATGGGAAGTCAAGGTAAGAGTACACTTGTTATTGGAGACTCAATGATTAAAGAAATCGAAGTCAACACACTTTCCAGATCAAAGAAAATTACCAAAATTTGCATGCCTGGAGCTAAGTCAGATCAAATCAAAGAAAGACTGCAGACTACTTTAAAAAGTACCCATTATGATGAAGTCATAATCCATGCAGGGGTTAATGACCTGTCAAATTCCCAGCCAGACCAGATTATCGTACAGTTAACAGATATGGCTGCTTCTGTTGATTCCTCAACCAAAGTTTCAATCTCCAGTATAATTAAGACCAGAGATAAGGATAGAAATAGCGCAATAAATTTAATAAATAGTGAACTCAAAATTACTTTCCAAAGTCGAGGATGGGTTTATATTGACAATTCACGTATAGGCAACGAATATTTAAAATTTAATAGTATCCACTTGAACCGAGTGGGTGTAAAATTATTTGCCTCAAACATTATACGTCAATCTCTCAGGCCTGGATCAAATAGGAGATCAATGACCAAACCTGAAAATTTTCCGAACACTGTGTGGAGACTTGCAAAAGCACTGAACATGATTGCTCAGATTCCATAATTCATAATATATCCAATAATACTAATTCAAATAGTACTAATTTGAATAATTTAGATGATACAAATCCATATAATTTGAATATAAGCAATATGAATCTATCGGAAGATCCTTCCATACATAAAAGCCTGCCCACGATGGCTGACGGGGCTTCTTTTCGGGGTCAAGCAGGGGAAAATAATAACGATCAACGGTTACTGAATGAAATGACTAATACTAGAGGCTTCAAAATTGCTGCCTTGAATATCAATAGTTTACCAGCACATATTGATGAATTAAAGGCATATATGTGCATAGACATTCTCGCATTTAATGAAACCCGTTTAGATCAATCTTTTCCAAATAATTTAGTTTCCATACCAGGTTATAATTTAGAAAGAAGGGATAGAAATAGAAATGGGGGAGGCATTGCATTTTATATAAGAGATGTTATTAATTATGAGCTTATGCATGAATTAGCTCAAGATCCACTTGAGTGGCTATGTATCAAGGTACAAAAACCTAAATCCAAACCATCGTTGGTACTTGGTACAGACCCCCTTCTTCAACCACTGACATTATGAATAACCTCGAATTATTAATTAAGAAGTTAGAAGTACTGGATATTGAAATTAATATTATAGGTGATTTTAACTTTGATGTAGGTGCTTCTCCCCCTAATGCACCTACTAAGCATTTCTTGGATCTCTGCAACTTATACCAGTACCATCAACTTATTAAAGAGCCTACTCGAATAACCGAACGCTCTTCAACTACAATTGATTTATTTATTACTAATAATCCAACAATGTATGTGAAATCTGGAGTTTGCCACATTGGTATTAGTGACCATTCACTTGTATATGCAATTCGTAAACTTTGTGTATCTAGAAAGAATCCTAGAATAATTCGCAGCAGGCAATTTAGAGATTTCAACGCAAATTCATTTAGATATGATCTCAGCTTAGCCCCGTGGCATATCATTGAGGAGAACGAAAATGATCCAAATCTTGCTTGGGATGCTTGGAAAACTATATTCCTGAAAATATCTGATATTCATGCACCCAAGCGGAGTAGAAAAATTCGAAATAGGCACTCTCCTTGGTTAACCCCAGAACTTAAGAAATTGATGTTTGAGAGGGACCGACTGAAAAGAATAGCAAGTAAACATGATACTGAACACAACTGGTCCAAGTATAGAAGTGCACGAAATAACGTTAACAGATGTATTCAAGATGCCAAAGCTGCATATTATCACAATTACTTTAGAAATAGCTTTGGTGATATTAAAAACACATGGAAAGGTGTGAATGAGCTTATGGGTAAAAATTCCCATACCAATGTAATAAGCAGCATTAAAGTTGGTGACTGTATCTACACTTCTTCAAGTGACATAAGTAATGCTTTTAATAACCACTTTACTCAAATTGGACCTAAATTAGTTAATAATGTTCCCACCTCAAACTCTAACTTTGAGCAATATATTACCACTACCGATACTAATTTTTCTATCACTGAGACAAATAATACAATTGTGTACAACTTGATCCAATCACTTCCTGTAAATAAATCTACTGGTTTAGATGAGATATCATGCAAGCTATTAAAAGAAGCTTCGCCAATTATTTTTTCATCCTTAACCTATATAATAAACTTATCCATAAGAAATGGGGTATTTCCCAATGATTGGAAAAGAGCTAGGGTAATGCCAATATATAAAGAAGACACAAAATCAGATCCTGATAATTATAGACCAATATCTATTTTACCGATTGTCAGTGAATAATTGAAAAGATCGTTTTCTCTCAGTTTTATGGATACCTAATCGACAATAATCTATTGTCTAGTTCCCAACATGGATTTAGACCATTACATTCAACGCTTACGACTCTTCTAATATCTACCAACAATTGGTACCAAAATATTGATAAAGGGCTTTTTAATGGAATTCTATTACTAGACCTAAAAAAAGCCTTTGATACCGTGGACCATCCAATTTTATTAAAGAAGCTTGAGATGTATGGCGTAGATCCTAATTCTATCAATTGGTTTAGATCATATCTAACAGGTCGCAATCAATGCACAAGCATTAATGGCACATTGTCTAGCTTGCTACCTGTTACTTGTGGGGTTCCTCAGGGATCGGTGCTTGGGCCCTTATTGTTTCTAATTTATATTAATGATCTTCAAGCCTGCCTCTCTACATCGTCCCTTATGATGTATGCTGATGATACATGTTTAACTGTTAGTTCTAACGATCCAAAAGACCTAGAGCTTAAACTAAATAACGAACTTAGAAAAGTGCAAACGTGGCTAAGGGCTAATAAGCTTACTCTGAATGTAAAGAAGACAAAATTCTTAATCCTAGGAAGCCAAGCGAGTTTAAGTAATCTGAATTATCGCTTTAACATTCAAATTATTGGACAGTCTATAGAAAGAATGTATTCTTATAGATATTTGGGACTTGAAATTGATGAATCTTTAAATTGGCAAGTACATATTGAAACCATTTGTAAGAAGATAAGTGCAAGTCTTGGGGCGTTAAAGCGGGTTCGAACTTTTGTACCCCAAAACACATTGATCCTGATGTATAAAGCCTTAGTGTTACCTTACTCAGACTACTGTAGTGAGGTTTGGGGCTGCCTAGGTAAAACCCTCTCTGAAAAACTCCGAAAACTGCAAAACAGAGCCGGTAGGATAATAACCTTCTCCGATTATGACGTAAGATCAGCTGATATACTACACAGTCTTGGTTGGGAAACTCTTGACCAACGTCGTGCTAAACAGCTCGCAACAAGTATTTATAAAGCAGTGAATAATTTATATCCCAACGAGCTTAATACTATTTTTGAACCTACCTCGCAAGTCCACTCTCACAATCTTAGAGGTAGTTCGCACAGTATGTTTACCCCTAGACCCAGAACGGAGGCTGGTAAAAGGAGCTTCGGCTACCGTGGGGCAGCTGTGTTATGGAACGATCTTCCGGATGAAATAAGAAGTCAGGCTTCAATATATCTCTTCAAAAATAAACTTTCTAACTTTCAAATTTAATACTAACACTAAGTAGTTGTAAATATGATAGGATTGTATACCGTATATATTTAGCTAATTTCTTTTGTTTTTTGTATTTTTACATGGCTCCTTGGAAGAGCACTTTAGTGAAAGGACACCATGTTATCTATTTATGTATTTTTTAATCAAGCTTCATTGATTGATTGATTGAGAAAGCTGCGTTTAAACTTGAATAAACATTTTGGGAAGTGTCGAGAATTAGTTAAATACGGCCTGTTAAACTAATTTGATAACCGCGTTACCATTTTATAGTAAATATTTGTTTCAATGAAGTGAAGCTTAAATTAAAATGTTTATTGGATGGATGTGCTCTTTTATTTTTGTTTAAGGTCTTTGGGAATGCATGAAAATTAAATTATGAAGCGATTTTGATTAAAAGATTTATTCTAAATATTCAACGACCCTGGGAATCGAATTCTAATGTTCCAAGAAAGAAACGTCAAGTATGTTTTTATAAATACGCCTCGTTTAACAAAGAACCAAAGAGTTTCGATATGTTTAGTATATGCAGGAGTTTATAATGGTCGTGAGGTTATGCCGGCGGCGTTGGGCAGGTCTCTGACAACGAACGTGTACTTTCTGACTATAGTTCGTCTAAGCACAGGTTATTGCTGTATTAAATATTTGATAGGCCGTTTTGGGGTAATTCGCGACACATTAAAAAATTTTACTCAAGTTTAAACGCAGCTCTCTCGGTCAATATTGCACGAAATTACACAGGGTGTATATCAAAATTTAATTTAGACAATACTGAATGCAATGCATGTAGTTTACGTGTAATAGCTCTTTTAGCTTTTAAGTTAAAACAAGTCAAACAGGTTAACTTTTTTTTGCGCCACCTGGTATATATATATATATATATATATATATATATATATATATATATATATATATATATATATATATATATATATATATATATATATATATATATATATATATATATATATATATATATATATATATATATATATATATATATATATATATATATATATATATATATATATATATATATTGTTTAATTAAAACCAATTTGCAGTTTTTAAAGGAAAACTGAATTACATGGAGTACTAATATAGCATAAAAATTTATATTAAAATGTACATATATATATTATATAAAATAATGTTTATTTAGTTAGGACTGTTAATTAACTATAAAGCTAATAATATTTCCTAGTCACGAAGTTTTTTAACCGTTCAGTGGTTTCTGACCATAACGGTTGTTCGGCCGTTCTGTCATTCCTTAAGTCATAATCATGAGTTTTTACCCCGGGACGAATTTCCATAATTTGGGTCAAAGGGTTGTAGGGTGAAACATCACGTCGCAGAGATTCGACGAATTTCTTGCAAGAGATGTCTCTTCGAGTACTCAGATACTGTAAGTTTGAAATTTCAAGGGCTTCATCATATAACAGATCTGGATAAGCTATTCTCAATGCTCTCTTTTGAACAGATTCGAGAATGTCAGATAATGATTTAGGTATTGACGACCATACAGGGGATGCATATTCAATTCTGGATCTGATGAATGAGATATATATTTGGACGATGTCAGATGCTTGAAGACCAGCCTTTTTTAACAGACGCAATGCGTATAAGCGAGAATTTGCCTTTTTCAATACCATGTCGACATGAGTATTCCATGACAAGTCATTTGATATCCATACACCTAGGAGTTTGAAAGAGGACACAGTTTCCACCGGTTTACCTGCAACATAGATCGGGTTTTCATTATCAGATCCTTTATATTTAAGAAAGTTGATCAACATTTGTTTGCATTTCTTATAATTTAGTTCCATTCCACGTTCTAAGGCGTAGTCCGAGATTTCATTTACGACTAATGGCATTAAACTGGATGAAAAACGTGGTATAATCTCTAGGGCTGAGGTGTCATCCATATATATATCATATATAGTCATATATATATATATATATATATATATATATATATATATATATATATATATATATATATATATATCTTTGAGGCCTCTGAGTTTATGTCCATTGTTAGCATAATATGAAATAATCCTACCTACCATTGTATCACATGTCTATCATGTGATTACTGAAAAATTTAGTTTAAAATACATTTATTTCTTTACGGGTTTAAAAGTTAATAAGGTTTACTTCTAAGAGCGTTTGGTTCTGGTGTCTTTTTTATTTAAAGAGTTCTCATAATCTTGTCTATCTGTCTTCAAACGACAGCTTTGCAATTTTCTCCGTTTTCATTGGAATATTCGGTCGGTCTCACTATACCGGCACGAGCAAAACTATCGGCATGTTGATGATGTGTCCAATTCAACTTCACACCGTTTCCCGATTACACAAAGCCCAGCTACTACCTAGGAGCCTGCTTAGAATATCCAGCCCAGCACGGAACCGGATATAAATAGCTCGAAGCCAAGTTTAAATAGCTCGGATCCTAGTCTAAAAAGCTCGGAGCCAAGTAATATATATTACTTGTCTTAGTTAATCGTCATGACCATTGTATTAATGGTCATTACTATGACTCGTCTTACATGAATGGTCATGACTATCATCATGACCATTATTATTATTATTATTATTATTAGTCTTTAATGAAACAGAAGATAAAAATACATATCTTAAGTTACAATTCATATTACAGTATATGCATTATTTACACTTTGCTAAAAAGAAACTTACAATGTTTAATCATATTGTAGTTCATACTATATACATTACTCATTCGTTCATACTGTGTGTCTTGCTATAGAGATATAGAGATAACTTGCAATGTTTAATCAATAACTAAGTCATAATTGTATACCAAACGGTTTACAAACACGTTTTTAAAACGTTCCGTTCTAACTTTCGGCCTATGACTTCTTCTTTTTCTTAAGTTGTAGCCTGTTTCTTTAGCGTGTGGCATTAGTGACAATAATGGATGCTGCCAGAGTTTAGATACTCTATTAAATATGGTTCGATCTTGTTTTTCTAAAAGCTTATACACACTAACTGGCTTTGACGTATATTTCCTTTTATAGCAACGTTTAAGAAAGACTTCAATAGGAGTTAAATCGGATTTGGAAGCGGCATAAACAGACAATGCGTATGTTATGTTTGGTAATACCAGAGTATCAAACAATAGATCTATCTCTTGTTGTGAATAACCTTCCTTTCGCAATGATCGTAAGATATAAAGACACTTATTTGCCTTGATTAATTTGTTTTTAACATGTTCGCCAAATTTGCCATCACACTGGAATGTAACTCCCATCACTTTCACTGCTTTACACATTGGAATCATTGCTATTGGTGAGAAATATTCTTGGTTACCTTGCTTGTAGATGGTCATCTCTTTACACTTTCCTGGATTACATATCATCTTATTTCTAGATGTCCAATCCAAAAACTGTGACACCAAAAAATCAGCACAATCTCGCTCTTTCCAAACTGGAGCCACAATATTGGAGTCATCCGCATACTTGAACAATATATCAAGACCGTCCAATTCTAAGTTTAAATCATTCAGGAAAATGTTAAAAAGATGTGGCCCACTGACACTCCCTTGAGTGGTGCCTCTATTGACACATAAGACTATAGTCATGACCATTAAGACTGTAGTCGTGACTAGGAGTATAATCATGACCATTAAGACTGTAGTTGATCGGGTGTAAGACCAGGTGACATTGACTGTAGTTGTATCCACTAAGACCATAGTCATGACTATTAAAACCATAGTCATTACCATTAAGACCGCATAATTTGGCTCGATATTTCAAGCCAGGCTCCGAGCTATTTAGACAAGCCTCAGAGCTATTTAGACTCGGCTCCGAGTTGGCTGGATATTGTAAGCTAGGGAGTAGCCGGGCTTTATGTAATATAAACTGTGTGAAATTGGATTGAACACATCAAGATGCCGAGAGTTTTACTCGTACCTGACGTAAGACTGACCAAAATATATGCCAATGAAGCCGGAGAAAATTGCATCATTATCGTCTGACGATAGACAAGAATACGAGAACTCTTTAAATAGAAAAGTCACCTAAGCGATAAATTATTAGAAGTAGATTTTCTTAACTTTGTAAACACGTAAAGACATAAATGTATTTTAAAATCAAATTTTTGTCGAAATTGTTTCCCGCAAAGCCACACCCTGATTTTAAGGTCTACGCCCGCTTAATAAATAATCCCTATCTATTCATAAGAAACACTTAAGAATACACCTAATTTTAAGAATTTTAATTACTGCACATTTTTATGCAAGGTTTAGCCGAGCAGCAGCACGCCCTGAAAATTTCTGAACACACCCTTATAATAATGTGTAACAACAAAGCAGGCTACAATTCATGTTCAAAAATGCCAAAACGAACATACACTGCACAGCACTCATGGGCATTTGGGGGCCCAGGACAAACTTTGACTTGGGGGCTCTCGTGATTCCATGTTCTAATAACACTAAGATTAAGGGATCCGGGAACATCCTCAGAAAAAATTTTGAAATCTGAGGTCCCATATTTCACTGCAATTTCTATTTGTGCCCTCCTTTAACTGGGGTCCCAGGGCAAATTGCACCCCTCTGGGCGGCATTGACAGCACCGGTTACGATTATCTTTGACAGCTTAGTTTCATAATAACATTACTGAAGAAAATAAATATTTTCGTCTTGGCAAATGAAAGGCGACTTACGGACTTAGGCGTGACAAACCTCTATACAGGAGTTCCAGGGGCATGCACCCACGGACAATTTTGTAATCTAGGCACTATAAAAGGGCATCTCCTGCAATGCGCGGGGACATTCTATAGAATTCTGAAAATTATACAGTAATTACAAAATCTTATAGGTATCATTCACTCCATGTTCCAAACTCATAAAGAGATCTTTGGTGAGAGAATATGTTCATCTGATGAACCAATGGATGGATGTTTGGCAGTCATAATTTCAATTTCAATTAAATCATTCTCATTCAAAATGTTTCGCCGGATTAGTTCAGTTTTTCTGCTCATTGTCTCATTTTCTTTTTTTAATTAACAGCTTATCAAAGCAAAATTTATCACTGCAACATTTTACATTTTATCACTGCACATTTCACTTTTATCACTGCACAAATTGGTTATCACTGCACGCTAAAATTAGGGTATGCTTAAGAAATTAAACTTTTGCTTACAATCCATTATTGACTATTAATGACTTTGGCGGTGTACGTTTAGAGAGCCACACAAGACAAAATTTCAATGTATTTGTACATAACCTGTAATAACTCTCTGTTCATTAGTATTTTTTCTGTCTCAAGCTCGCTGAGTGAAATAAAAAAATGGTATTGTATATATTCACATGGGGGGGGGGGTTAATCACTTTTTAATGACTCTTTAATATGCAAATATCGACCATAACAACGGCGTTGACAACCTTCGGCTTAGCAACTGCTAAGGTTTGTTTAAAACAAGTCGTTTTATTTCTGCTTGGAAATTTATTATTCCTTTAAAAGCCACCAAATTAATTAAAAGTATTAATTCAAATGAATTTCGAGGATTTTTGTACATTGTGATGAATAGATTCCTCGCTATCATTTTGTAAACATACGAAAGCTAAATAGGCAAGCCTACGACCATATATATCTTATATACACTCGATAGCGCATCTCTTTTAGTAAAATTGAAGCCAAGAATATTCCAGCAGTTACCCCCATTTGATAAGATGGCGGTCATGTTGGTCGTTCCCACTTGCTAATAAACGCTTAAAAACAACAATAACTTTCATTATTTGAATAGTTTAAAAACGTATTTGGAATAGGGTTAACTTAATGTTTATGTTCCCTTTTTAAGAAATAGAAAACATACGAATCTTCTCATTTCATTGGAACGACCTGAGACTGCAATCTCGGCTTCAATTTTTGAATTGCAGAATAATTAGATGCACTATCTAGTGTATATAAGATATCTTTGACTACGACCAAAGTTTGTAACATTGATCTCCTTGCAGACTTGCTCAAGATTCAAAGTTTGCTTATCGATATCAAGTTCATTTCGTGTAAAATAATCGTAAAAATTATATCTATGTTATCCATGGACTGTCGATGAAAGGCTCTGCTTAGATCTAATATTTGGAAAATTTGGTAGCGACGCTAACATGGCACGCCAATTAAAAGTCAATACTGTTTAATCATATTGTGATAAAAATGCTGACCTCAGTTTAATAACTTTCTTGACCAGGCTGCCTTGCATATCATTATGACGTCATATGTGCGCAACCTTCTCCGCCTCACTCCATTTCACTCCACCTCAGTTCACCTAACTCCACCTCATTTACTGAATATTTTATTTGCTCGCTCTCATTTAAAGAATATTTCGTTTCCTCACTCTCACTCATTCTCCCGCACTCTCATTTACTGAATATTGAATGACGACGCATTTAATAGCTGTTATCGTAATTGAATACGCCTATGCTACGGACCAGCGGTATCTGTATTATTTTAACATCGAGACGAGGCTATAGGGTCATGTTTTGTGTTTTTGACCCTTTAGCATCGTTTTCGTGCGTAGTTCCACTGAGATACCGCTGGTTCGCCGCAGCGGCGTATTCAATTACGATAACAGCTATTTACTCACTTTCATTTACTGAATATTTAATGATCTCGCTCTCCCTGATCTCACTTAATGATCTCACTCTCACTCTTAGGTGATCCAAGTCATATCTTTTATCAACGAACTATGGAACATAATAAACATAACTATAATCTTAGGCGTAGAGACGGTATATTTAAATACGCACCTTTCTCAGGCACTGAACGACACAGAAATATTTTTGTCCCACGAGCAATGAGACAGGGGTTGTACTAAAACCAAACTTGGTTTTTATTAACTTTTTAAATAATTTCCTAGACTTTTAAATTTTTTACTCCAAATTGTATATATATAAATTTTAGATCGTTTGTAAATATTATTGCATGCTTAGTTATGCTCTTCTCTTTTAAAAGACATATTTGTAAATCCATTGTATTTTTAAACTAAAGATGGATCAATAAAATCATCATCATCATCATTATCATCATCCCTCACTCTCCCTCACTGTCAAAATCCGGATCGAAAACCACCTACATTACTACTATGGCTTTCCAATGCCCCGTTTATTCTTAATCAAATTATTACACCAAAATATATAAAATATTAAAGACTACTTTACCGATATACTAGCACAATTGTTTCTCACAAACCCACTGTTTACAAACCATTGCAATAATTTGTTCCCAGTTGCAACAGAGCCGCCGCGTCTCTCTGAACATGGATCAACGTTTGTAGATTTCCTAATAACAAATTCTTCTGGGTATTTGTTGAATCGAAAACACTGAGTCCCTCAAGCACCTCTGACCGCACAACGATTTATGCGAGGACAAATATTCGACCACAATTGTTCTTTTTCACAATTTCTATTGCAATCAAGGACAACAATTGTGATAAAATGTCGGCTTGCATAAAGCAGTTCTTTATTTCAAACAATTCTCATTATGCGTGTTATCCCCTTATTATCTTAATTGGAAAATATGATCTTCATTGGTATACCATGAAATTTAAGAAGTGCTAATATCGACTCCTTCAATATTGCATGTCAATCGCTCTCTGGAAATGTATAAATGCAATGGCACTTTCCCTTGAAATTCTGTGATGAGTTCGGAGATCATGTCCAGTACAAATTTACGTCAGTACAAGATTTTCATTATTTCCAGATGATTGTGCTCTATATTTTAAATCTAATGGTTTATGGCTCTTTTAAAAGCAATTTGCTGGGCTTTAATATTTAATATTTATTATTAGAATTCGTTTTCCGCCTGGAACTTCTCTGGTAACTATATATAAGCTTTATATCTATTTCGATCGACATGCGATGCATTAAAATCCTTGCAATGACGTAGCTGCCGATTCTTAACAAAGTTACCTATCTCCAATTTGAGCAGTGACGCTGTTGCTATTAATAACTTACTGACCGAGCGTGAGGGTAGTACGGGTAAAAATTCAACCGAGGTCTTCCTGTATACCATGGTGGGGATTTATTGCCTCGAAAACGCTCACTTAAGTGTAACTTTGAGGGCTTTTATTCAATTGATCTGATATTTTATACTTTGACAGATCGTTTCATTCTAAGATATGCTCTCGTTTCACTTTTTCGAATTTTTCAAATTTTGGCGGAAAAATGACGTCATCCTTTTGGCGCCAATATTTTGTTTAAGTGTCAAGACTTCCTTAGTTAATTTTCTAAAGTAAGATGTTGTATAAACTTCAAAACCGAAAGAATAATTGAATTATCTTAATTCAATTAAGAGTTATAAAGGATGGAATTTTCAGATTTCGGCCATTTTGGACTATTTAATAATAATAATAATAATAATAAACTTTATTTAAAGAAGGTGAAATTATACAAAAACCAGTTTGGCAACGCTAATCTTACACTGGGCCTTCTGTAACGCGACGGCAAGATCGAGATTGGATATTTTCCCATCACGCACCTCGTCAGCTAACACCTCATATACGACTGGAGTTCTCAGCATAATTGTTAAATACGGATCTGATCTCCCTAAGTTCTTCCTTCATCAGTTTCAGGGTTCGTTTCTTGATTCATTTGTGACAATTGTTTATTCAGATACTTCGCGATTGAAGAGAGATATCATATTTGAATCAAACGTCCTGGGTTGGTTGGATTGTGGAACCAGTTGCTTGAAAAAAAGTATATGTGTTGCGTTCAATTTCAAGGAAGGTTCAAAAGAAAACGAAATCAACTGTCAGTTAACTCAAACCACCGATCATAAGTTTGAAAGAGGAAGCACAGAGGACAATGGGTGGACATTTTATGAGGGAGTTGGACAAAGAATGGTTAGAATATTTACTATTTACTTCATTTTCTTGTCAAATATTGATAACCAGATAAAATATTCTCTAGTAACACTCTCACATTTCCAAGATAACATTGTTTTGGTGTTATATGTACTCAGGTGAATATGATGTTTGTGATGTTACTCTAATTGTGCATCCACAACGGGCAAACTGATCAACCCGAAATTTCACCATTTCGAACCGATTTGACCTCGTGACTCAGTTGGTAAACTATTGTACTAGTATGGTGTATCGCCCGCCGTGGTCAGGCAAACTTTTCAGCTTGCCTGGTGTGGATGGACACTCAGAGTAACATCACAAACATAACACCATTTTTTTTAATAACACTCCTCCCCCCTCCTTACCCTGACATCTAATTGGACTGATGTACTAAAAATTACTGGATGCTGTCCTGAATTTTTTGCCGGTAAGTGAATTGTTTGGAATATAGCAGATAGTCACGAAAATATATTTGAGAGTGAAAACATCATAAATTATCATTCTATTTTAAGAAACCATCGTTACGAGTTGATTGCATTAAATTGTAATGGAATCAATATGATGTAGTGTATATATACTTGCTATTTTAAAGTTTGCGAACGTCATATAATAAATTTAATTATATACTGAAAGATTATAAAATACTTATTAACAACAATGTAACAGGATATGCCTTTGTATATAGCTATTTCAATTAAGGTTGCCCCGAGCAAAGCGGAAAAGTCGAATACGAGCGCGAAAGACTTGCTGGGAATCGCTAACAAATTAATGAATTTGTTAGCAATTCCCAGCAAGCCCTTCGCGTTCGTATTCGACCATTCACTTTGTTCGGGGACAACCTTAATTGAAATAACTGTATTCTCGGAAAGGGGATTGGTATACAGCGACCTAAAATGTAACCCTTAGCGCTACCTGAAGAAGAAAAAGTGACCCTTGAAAAAATCGGCATTGTATTGTATCTATCAGATACAATGCACTCCCTCACAAAACCTTGCTGCTTTTGGTGTTTTATGATCCAAGTTCGTTTAACTCTTTAAGCGGTTTGAAGAGTAAAATCGTCTGGCGTTAGCCGAGCTCATATAATAAGGTAGGGCACATCTGATCAGCGGTTGAATGGGAAAACTAGAGAAACATGGTCAATTAGGCAAGTTAACCCATTATGTGCCATCGCTCTCTCCTTGCCGAGTAAAATCGTCTGACATTAGACAGGGTAAATAATAAAGTAGGGTGCATATGTGGGCGCAATGCGACTCAGTGGGTCAATAACAATTTTTTTCTGTTTTTATTACGTAAACAAAACGGATATTTAAAGCCAATCAGAATGTGTAAAAAACACTATCAACCTACTAAGTATATGCTAATAGGAATTATTCAGAATCGCGTGATTCCATAACATTGGCGGCAAACATCTAAATGATTCTTGACGCATGCATAAACTGATGTGATAGATGTTTTATTAAATATTCAAATTAAAAAAAAATGACAAGATTGGTGGCTAGTGAAAGACTAAAGGGAAACGTTATATTTAAAAAACTATAAAATAAAAAGCTTTTGAAGACATTCTCAAACCTAAGAAGCTTCCTACGCATGGTCAACAGAGGGTTGCAAGGTGATCTTGTCTTGGTTTCGCGCACGTAAGAAGAGGTGTGAGAATACTGTCTTATGTTAATAATTTTTCGAAGATAGATGCATGGGAATTTGGTTTCACTCAGTGGTGGACTTGTCGACATGCTATGCAAATTGACCAAGAAATCTTTTTAGGAAGAGCAGCTACCTGAAAAACTTGAGCAAAACTTCAATATTTTAACGAGTTTCCTTCAATTAAAACATCAAACTTTTGCTAATTTTTTTCCCAATATTTTCGCGAATGTTATAGAATCACGTGATTCTGAATAATTCCTATTAGCATATACTTAGTAGAAGGATAGTGCTTTTCACACATTCTGATTGGCTGCTCTGGCTTATAATTTGGCTTTGTTTACGTGATAAAAACAGAAAAAAATTTTATTAATCCACTGAGTCGCAGTGGGCCCACATGTGCCCTAGTATATTATTTTACTCTGTCTAATACCAACTGGCCTATCTGACCATGTATCTCTAGTTAACCAATTGAGTCGCATTGCGATCAGATGCGCCATACTTTAGTTGTTTTACTCCGTCTAACGCCAGACGATTTTACACGTCGAGGCGCTTAATTGGTGAAACGAAGCTGCAGTTCCATAAAACACCAAAAAGCAACAAAGTTTGGTTACTAATAAACGTCGTTCATCGTATTAAGGTAAATTAATTGAAGCTAAAGACAGAGACATATTGACAAATGACAATATAAAATACGTAAGATACGACATATCAATGATATCCTATTCGTTCACTTCTGTGTTATCGCCATTCCTGTAATAACTAAATATTTAAGAAATTATGACGTCATGATACGTTAGTTCTATATGATCTAACGCCGACCATCTGACATAGATCTCCCCCGCGAATTTCAACCGTTTAGAAATTATACTAAGGCTTAATCTACAATCTTGGACATAACTGGTTGAGACTATTTTCCCCCTATAGAAAATTCGCGTATTTTTATGATAAACTCCATGTTGAATCATGTTGCCATTCTTAAACCCCCGCTCCCCGAACTCAATGTTGAGCTTGTATCATGGTATATTACCAAAAGTTGTTTCGGCGTTGTTCACAACATTTAACTGGGGGGGGGAGGGGGGAGGGGGAGACAAAGTTTGTTTTTTCAGATGTTCATAACTTTGTAATATTGGCTGGAATGGTCTCAAGGGTTTTGTCCAAGATTGTAGGTCGAAATCACACGGCCAAGCGTATCCTAGGCGAGAGACTTAGGCATATACGTATTTCTTGAAAATGCTTAACTAGATTATTAAAAAATGTTCACAAAGTCATGATTTTTTCTGTGTTGGTGTTATGTACTCACCCGCAGTAATTATGATGTTTGTGATCAGTGGCGTAGCTAGTGAAATTTGACTAGTCCTGCTCTAAGACCCACACATTCTAGGGGGGGGGCGCGGGCATGCTCCCCCGAAAAATTTTGAATTTTAGAAGTCTGGAATGGGCATTTCCTGCGATTTCACGGCGAAATACTCCAAAGGGAACATCAAAAAATTGCGTGATTAACGGAAAATTTTTGATAATTTTTTTTAGAAAAAAAAAGTTAAAAAGTTTTTGAAATCCATGCATTTTTTATCATATTTCACTATATATTTTTCAACTTAACTGAAAATGTAGCTAAATATAGTCAAGTCACAAAAAAGGAAAATATCATGTATACAATACGCGTCTGTAATACGATCTTTCACTTGATCAACATAATCCAACTTCACATGCATAATCAACAATTGCATAACTATTATACTGTTGAACACGGCGTTTTATTATATACCCTATAACGCTACGGCTAGCATTCGTTAAAAAATCACTACGTTTGTTAGTAATGTGACAGATCACTACGCCTGGCACTCTGAATGTAATTCAGTACCCTATGCCTATGGTATTAATAATATAGCGTTTAATTTAATATAGTCTATGCGGCCAAATATCTACATAAACAGTGTGAATTGGTACAGTATATCATTTTTAAAATTTTACGCCATATAAGTGCTCGTTTTAAATGCACAAAGCAGATAAACTGGCAGTAAATATTACGTTCTTACTTTATATCAATACGACAGGCTTCACAAATGAAGTTTGTATTCCCCATTTAATATATAATATTGTATTATAAAAATACAAAATCATTAGTCGAGTCTGTTCACATGCATTCCGTGAGCTCAAATTCCGTGAGCCCGCAAGTAAAGATAATGCAAGGCCAAGTCCTGCCATTTCGAGAGAGCAGGACTTCGGATTTGTAAACGGTCGGTTTGAGCAAGGGCAGACCTAATTATCCAATCAGAAACCAAGATTTCTTGTATGAATTTACTATCAAATATACACTAGCAAGTCCTGCCGTTTGAAAATGGCAGGACTGAAATACGAGTCGCGTGTAAATCAATGTAGAGTTGCAGTTGCTAGGTAACAGACACCCCTTACGAAAATTTCCTATAGGAATTCCTATAGGAATTCCTATCGAGAATTCCTATAGGAATTCCTATAGGAATTGAAAATTCCTATAGGAATTCCTATAGGAATTGAAAATTCCTATAGGAATTCCTACATGAATTGAAATTCCTATAGGAATTGAAAATTCCTATAGGAATTCCTATAGGAATTGAAATTTCCTATAGGAATTCCTATAGGAATTGAAATTTCCTATAGGAATTGAAATTTCCTATAGGAATTCCTATAGGCATTGAAAATTCCTATAGGAATTCCTATAGGAATTGAAAATTCTTGATAAATTTCCTATAGGAAGAAATTTCCTATAGGAATTCCTACAGACATTGAAAATTCCTATAGGAATTCTATAGGATTGGAAAATGGCTATAGGAATTCCTATAGGAATTGAAATTTCCTATAGGAATTGAAATAATTCCTATAGGAATTCCTACAGACATTGAAAATTCCTATAGGAATTCCTAAAGGAATTGAAAATTGTGCAAAAATTCCTATAGGAAAAATATTCCTATAGGAATTCGTATATGGTGAAAAAAAATCCTCTAGGAAATAAAAATTCCTATAGGAATTCTTATAGGATTGGAAAATGGTGGGAAAAATTCATAGCCTATACCACTATGGCCTGATACATGCATGGGTATAAGAACTTTACTTATATAAAAAATTATACAGATAAATATAATTTACAAAATAACTCCTTCCTACAGGAATTTCTATAGGAATTTTTTCACCATTATCATATCCTATAAGAATTCTTATAGGAATTTTAATTTCTTATACAACTACACTATTCCTATATCGTATTTTATTCATAGACATTTATTAATAGAGAATTTAATACTGGAACTATTTATTTTCTAAGATTAAATGAATAATTACTGCAATGTGCGCGACTGACAGACTGGTGTCTAGTTTTCTTGCCATGCGCGCATAGCATCAAAGGATAGATCATCACACCTCCGATATTTTTTCAAGTCAGTGTTTGTCAATGGTTTATGTGCAAAATAGAACTATTTTTGATGGGATTCAATTGGATTTTCACTAGTAATACATCAGGGATGTTTGCATAATGTTCAGGTAAGAATAAGTTTATATTTTATTTATAATAAAGCAAATTATAAAGGAAATACCTCCAATCTTCATTTGTGAAATTCGAGCATGTGGTTCGATAAAATTTGAATTTTCCGCGACAAAATAAACGGAATTAGAATGCTGATCTAAATATATTTATAGCATTTATACTTCAACAAATGCTACAAAAAAGTTTTATATTTGAATCAGACTCCATGTTTATTAATATATTTGTATATCCCAAGTGCCAACTGTATATGCCAGATTAATTGTAAATTGTCAGCCATATTTAATACATGCCTATAGAAAATTTAACCACTTGCTCAAATCAGCATCAGTATTTATTCATATGTTTTGTTTAAATTAAACAATTTTCATTTTGTAAGGTCTTGCACCAGTCAATGTATTAAAATCTGTTAGCCTTTAGACATGCTGTAGTGTAATGCCAGGAACATAACTATGTGATGGTATTCAAATTAACCAGACTCTCTGCTAGCTTACAATTTATGCTAACTTGTTAAGATGAATGTGCTCAACTTTCAGTACTTTTTTATTTTACCTTGTCTAACACCAGATCATTTTACTTGAAAGAGAGTGGACAACTTTGATAGGTTACCTTGCTGTCTCCCTGTGTTTTGTGTAAACTCATTAAGACCCAATTCACAAATTCACACTAATGTGCTCTATTTCAAAGCTCAATATTTTGCCCTGTTAATACCAGACTATTTTGCATTATTTGGCGTTAGCACATTTAGATGCAATTCACCCTAACACACAATCCCTACTTTCAGTACTTTGATATTTATCAGATGATTTTACTCATCAAAATGAATGTTGGTCATTGAAAGGTTAATAATTAACTGCAAAAGCTGCTGTGTGGCATATTTAGAAGCAATGTGCCTTACTTTTAGTACTTTGTTATTTTACTGTGTTTATTCTATTAAAGTGCTAGACTCTCCACTTAGAGTAAAATAATAAATTGGGTGCATTTGGGCATATTTAATGGGTTAACAAAACACATTGGAATGGCATACATAAAATAAATGTATTTGTCTTTTTACAGCTATCAACAAAGTATGGATGTAAGGCCTCAGAGGTTCGTCAACATATGAGGACAAATATAAACATCATGGGAAAGTGTTGCAAAGTACAGCTGTAAAAGCAAACAAGAACAAGAACTTATTTGAGGACTATGTTTTGAGGCCAGTTTTAAACTTAACTTTAAATGTCAATTATGGTTATTACCTATGGTTTAGCCCATTAAGTGCCAGCGCTCTGACGAGTAAAATCGTCTGGCGTTAGACAGAGTACACTATAGTAAAATAATAAAGTAGGGAGCATCAGAGTGCAATGTGATTCAAAGGGTTAACTAGACACATATATAGGAATATAGGCTACTTAACCCATTCGGAGCCAGCATTTCCCCTTGACATTCAAGTACAATTGTCTGGAGTTAGACAGAGTAAAATAGTCTGGCATTAGACAAAGTAAAATAGTTAGACAGAGTAAAATAATAAAGTAGGACGCATCATATGGCATTGCATTGAGGTAGAACGATTAATTTGGAACAATAGGTGAAAACTATAATTGATTTGTAATGTTTAGTATAACCAATTTCTCATGTTAATTTTTATAGTTGCAATATTAATTAGTATTTATTAATATTTATATCTATTTTTTGCATTAAAAAATTAAGAGTGATGAACAACATTGTCTGTCATTTACTATTATTTCATCTAGATTCTAGAATTTCTGCAGGAATACCAAAAATCTTATAGGAAATTAGAATAAATTATTTTCTTATAGGAAATTCCTATAATAATTTGGGACTAGACTTGAGAATTCTTATAGGAATTCTTCCTATTATATTCTTATAGGAATTCCTGTAGAAAAAATTAGTATAGGAATTTTTTCTATAGGAATTCCTATAGGAAAAATTCCTATAGGAATTTTGTCCCAAAGTCTTATAGGAGTTTTTCCTATGGGAATTCCTATAGGAAATTTTCGTAAGGGACGGCAAGCTGTAAAATTGCGTAAATATAACAGAATGCGAAAAACTTTTTAAAAAATAATAACGAAAAAGACAAGAAAATGAGACAAAATAACAATATGATAATGATGTGACTGATACTCTGATGTGACTTTTTGAAAATAGAGACTAATAATAATAATATTAATAATAATAAGAATAAGAATAAGAATAATAGTAATAATGAAAACTTTATTAAATGTTTTTCTTTACACACATATACAATCGTAAATCTCTCTCATAAAGGTAACTTACGGTTGGCTATTTGAATCACAATTATACTAAACTAAAATAACAGAACAAAGTGCATCCATATATATATATACAATCAGATAAGTCAAATTGTTAGTAAATCCGGATTTTCCCATTCTTTATTTCGGGAGCAAAAAATGTAATATGTAGTTCTAATAATAGCAATAGTCATCATTTTCTTAACGCAGTACATTTGGTGGTTTTTGTCAAGACCAATACTTTCTAACATGTCTAAAAATGTAGAACATTCTTCTGCAAAAATATCGAAAGAGCTGATAGAGAGATTTATAAATTTAACTTGGTTAAAATTTTTACCTAGCTGTCTCAATAATTCTCTATATTTATCCTTCTTCCGTTTTACGTTGTTCTTGAGGTTTGTCTCATAACCATGCATGCAGTAGTGAGTTCGACCACATAAAACGAACCATTTGAGCACGATAATAACAAATCTGGGCGATACGTATCACCAGTAAGTATTGAAGGGCTTTTGAATCCATGTAGATCAGCGTAGAGAGTAGAACCGTCAACAGTTTGTAAAGTATTAGCAAGAACGTTCAGGACTGAATTGTGTCTCCACGTAAATCGGTCGAGATAAAAGTGACATCCAGCTACTATGTGTAGTAATGTTTCATGGCTTAGACAAAAAGAACAGTCTGCATTTGAAGATATTGCCCATCTTTTTAGGTTTTTGCGCGTCGGAAGAGAGTTGTTAATGTAACGAATGGTAAAGTTGTAAATGTTTTTCGGGAGCTTTGATTGGGCCATCGACCACACCTTGTTAAGCTGGGGTAAAGCGAACTTCGTGACGCTGCAGAAAAAGGATCAAATAATAATAATAATAATAATAATAATAATAATATTAATAATAATAATAATAATGGAAACTTTATTAAATGTTTTTCTTTACATATACATATATACAATCGTAAATCTCTCTCATAAAGGTAACTTACAATTATACTAAAATAACAAAACAAAGTGCATGCAATATATATATATATATATACAATGAGATGAGTCAAATTGTTAGTAAATCCGGATTTTCCCATTCCTTATTTCGGCAGCAAAAAATGTAAATAATAATGGAAACTTTATTTTGACATTTTATATATATACAATTATAAATCTCACTAATTAAGCTAATTTATAATTGACTACTTGAACTATTAATTATTGATAAAACTATATTACAGGTATAAAACTAAGAGAAAGCTCATTCTTAAATATTCATCAAGTCCGGATCGGTCCAATCCTTGTTTCTATAACAAAATATATAGTACGTTGTTCTGATGGCGATGGACATTATTTTCTTAACACAAAAGTTCTGATGTTTTTTATCAAGACCAACTTCGTTCAACATTTTCATAAACGTGCTACATTCTTTTGAGAAAACACCTAAGGCACTAATAGACAAATTAATAAATTTGACAGTTTTGAAATGGTCTTTCTGCTGCGTAATTATATTCTTGTATCTTTCCCTTTTGCGATCGACGTTGTTTTGGAGATTGGATTCATATCCGACAGAGAGTTCGAGTATGTACAGACAATAATTTGAAATCGAAAGAAGCAGATCTGGGCGATAAGTGTCACCGGTTATTATTGATGGGCTCTTGTATCCAGGAAGATCAACACATAGCGTGGAGTTGTGTTCAGGTTGGAATATTTTTGCGACAAAACTGAGAATGGAGTCATGTCTCCAAGTAAATCGTGGAAGGTATGACTGGCATCCCGCGACCACATGCAGAAGGGTTTCAGGGTTCAGGCAGAGGGAACAATCCAAGTTTGACATTATTCCCCATTTTGTGAGATTTTTGCGTGTGGGAAGAGTGTTGTACGTTGATGTAACGGATGGTGAAGTTATAGATGCTTTTTGGCAAGCTGGATTGAGATTTGGACCATAGGTTGTTTAGTGTAGACAACGAAAACTTGGTGGTGTTAGAGAAAAAGGAGCCTTGGAGAAGCAGATGATTTTGAAGCTTGTCCTCTTGTGCAGATTTGAAACTTTTAAGAACTTCCTTTGTTGAGGTGTAGACGTCGTACTGTATGTTAGTATTGTCGCATGTTGATTTCCATAAATTTCTTATACAATCATTTGGAGAGGTTTTTAAGGCTTTACGAGAGACTGTTTGGCACTGACTGAACTTGACGGATGGAGGGTATATTTTAGTCCAAATTTGTTACTTGTGAGGAAGAAATTACTTAAAGTTCCAGATACGGGTATTTCAAGCCATTTCCGTACGAATTTATAAACTACTGAGTCCATGTTTTCAGAAACCCACGTTTTTGATAAGGTAGCGACAGTAAAATGCCAGGAGAATTTCGATAGGAGATAACGACTATAGAGTAAAATTTTGTTCTTTGGGTGTAGCGGTTTGAGGTCAATTTCTGACATGATATCTTCAAGGAGGGTGATTAGTTCTTGTTTGTGATCTTGGTCAGACATACTGAAATTAAAATATTTCCCTAAGTATCGGAAAGACTATCCTATTTTAGTGGCCGGTATTAATTTATTGTCAATGAGGAGTCTTGGTAGGTATTGGATTGATGTGCTACATGTACTACATTTGTCGACTCGAGTAATCATGTTTGACCATTGACACCAGATTGAGAAGCGGTTTAAAAGGTGCTGATTTTCGCTCTCTTGACCGCAAATAACGGCTGCATCATCAGCAAACTGGAACCAATGGATTGGATTTTAAAATTTGGTCATGAAACCAAATTGGCGGTATTTATCAGCTTTAATGTGCTGAATAAAGGTGTTGAAACACATATTGAAAAGTAAAGGACTAAGACAGTCTCCTTGAAGTACACCTCGGCCAACAGTTATGAATGGGGTAGAGAATTCGGCAGTTATAATTGTGGTGTTGAAGTCTGTATACAAGCTCTTGATAATTTCATTAATCTGTTCGGGAATGTGATGATAATCGAGGACAGATTGAATGAGATTATGATCCACTTCACCAAAGGCGTTTTTAAGGTCAAGAAGGGTGATGACAACAGAGCGTTGCTTTATCCTCGCTTGGTTGATGATGTTTGTCATTTGAGCTGTGTGTTCCAAAGTGCCAGACAAATTGGGAGTGAAGCCTTTCTAAATCTTTTGTTCAATGAAATTATTAGCCGTTAGAAAGGAAAGGAAACGCCATGGCGTTGCCGAAGATATGAGGTAAACACTTTTAAGGGTATGGATTCCAGAGTAATAGGACGGAAATTGGAAGGGTCATTTGTATTGCCCTTCTTGTGTATAAGTACAGAGCATGCTTTTTTCCATTCGGCAGGTACAGATTTTGAAGACCAAACGCTACCTATTACTTCTGTCAAGTACGTACGGAGAAATGGACATCGTTTAAAGCAAATTATTGAAAGTTGATCGAGCGGGCAAGGTGAGGCGCATGCTTTCATTCGGAGAATTATATTTGTAACTTGGCGATATGTTGGGGGTTCAAGGTCAAAATTGATGACGGGTTCGGATAACTTTGGAATCGGGTTAGGGTAAAACGCTGATACGGACGGACGGACGGACGGATGACCTATTTATTTTTCTCTAAAATATGTTTTAAACATCATATCCGCGTTTTACCCGATAGGGTAAAACGCGGATATGGTGTAAAATATGCTTTTCGTCTCATTCAAAGCGGACGGATGACCTATTTATTTTTCTCTAAAATATGTTTTAAACATCATATCCGCGTTTTACCCGATAGGGTAAAACGCGGATATGGTGTAAAATATGCTTTTCGTCTCATTCAAAGGCATATCCGCGTTTTACCCGATCGGGTAAAACGCGGATATGGTGTAAAATATGCTTTTCGGCTCTTTCAAAGGCATATCCGCGTTTTACCCGATAGGGTAAAACGCGGATATGGTGTAAAATATGCTTTTCGGCTCATTCAAAGGCATATCCGCGTTTTACTCGATAGGGTAAAACACGGATATGGTGTAAAATATGCTTTTCGGCTCATTCAAAGGCATATCCGCGTTTTACCCGATAGGGTAAAACGCGGATATGCCTGTAAAATATGCTTTTCGGCTCATTCAAAGGCATATCCGCGCTTTTAAAGAGCCAAGTATTATCATGCATGGTAATTTCAAGATTATTAGTCCAATTTCACACCTTTCCGCCGGGCTATGATTGCTCTTACAACAGGATGAAGAATTCAGTCAAGTTTTTTTTCATATCTTACTTTTTACTCCAAAAGTTTGGCCCAAAAATTTGTTTTTTACTCCAAAAATTTGGCCTTATACGTACATGACTGAAAAGGCTTCGGTTGCCCTCTTAGAAACCATGCATATAAACGCTCTGTCTTATATAGGTGTAAATTGTAGCCCAACCATGATTAATGACAGCGAAAATGAATATCTACCAAACTTGATACGCACCTGCATACTCGTGCACATTATTTTCGAGGTAAACAAAATCCAAAATAACAACTTCAGGCCAAATTGTTGGTGTAAAAAACAGTTACAGTAGATAAAATTATAATACAGGTCCCTAATACACAATTTTTAAATTAAATTCGTTTACAATGACACCAATTATAATAAGCATAACCCAACAGTTTCACCCGGGGCATTTTTTGGGACACCCATGCATAACATAACTATATATAATTAATAATATCATGATAAAAAATATTGATATTACCTTTCGAATAAAACGATATTAACATAGAAAAGGTAAGTTAACGGTAACATACTGCATGTATAGATAATGTTTCTTTTTCTTTTTGCTATATCATCTAGCTATATACGGCATCATCAGTAGTCGCTTGTGATACTGTTTTAGTTGATTAACATTATTTTCGAACATTGCGAATCAAAACTGGTATATACCTCGTCACTGGAAGTAGTAATTAAAGAACAATGTCAATACTGTCAAATAATGCGTTGGTTTGTTTTCGAACACAACCGCGCGAGTGCATGCATGCAAATGCCTGCCCTTCCTATATAATAAAATTTGTTTGTATCATATATTATAGATACAAAGGCATTTTATACGCATACACAAGATACAGATACACAAAAACTGCCCCCCCCCCTTAAACACCTTAAATTAACCTGGGAAATTAAGTGTTGGCCGTTGGGGGAAATCACTGGTATGTAAAGTCACTCCATTTTGATACGGACGAAACGATTTTGCATGTGTAAGCAAGTACTAGTTGATTCCTGAATTTGACAGGAAATCGCCGTTTCGCCAACGATTTTTTACAAAGGAAAAACCGCATGATAATGATTAATGAAGTGTGTATGGACCAAAAGACATTACTATTTAATTACTAGATGTGCATACCAAATTCTCGCAAGAATGAAATATGTTCCATGGTTAGCTGTGGTGCTAACCAGTTGGCTACCTTCACGTTGTTAGGATTAAAAAAGGGCTGTTTCGTGCGGATGCACTCTAAATTGACATGAAAATATACATTCCCTTCCTTGCTGACCTTCTCCCCAGATACTGGATGATTGAAAGGGCGAAGCATCCTGGACACGATTGTCATATCATAAGGTGGATTAGGAACACGGTTATCAGGTTTCAGCGTTTGGCCGCAACCGAAGCAAACTCGTACAGCAGGAGGACAGTAATGAAGGAAGTGAAGTTCGAACGTTCCATTTCTTGGTTGTGGGAGAAATGAATTTATCGAGGGTGGTGGAATTCTCACGGCTGGAAGATTAGTTGCTGAATGTTGTTGAAGTAGGTGACTTCCTAAAGGTTGGCCTTGGGTTGTCTGTTGTAATTCCCATTGTCTGGCAAATTGTATACGTTGTGCTTCTACCAATTGTGGTGATTGCGGAATTTGCTGGAATATTTGCCTTGGCGTTTGACTTGGCATTTGATGTGTCGGTTGACTTGGTGGTTGATGTGCCGGGTGACTTGGTAGTTGATATGTCGGTTGATGTGGCGGGGGATTTGGGGATTAATGTGACTGTTGACTTGGCGGTTGACGTGACAGCTGCAAATTAGGGGCAAATCTGTTTCCGTAAAATGGTCTGTCGACTGTTGTACTGGCCGGTTGTACGTTCTTGCTTCTACCACCTTTTCTTCTAACCGTAGAAGCTTTCTGATTCTTTTTCCCAGTATTCTTGCTGCTGTCGTAGGTCACGAAAGAAGTAAGATTTATATTCGTTGGGCCTTTCTTCGTGAGCCATTTAACATAGCTTGCAAGAGTTCCGGCTTTTTCGGATGCAGCGACTGCGTGTGAACATAGCTTTGCTGATACGTACGACGGGCACCCATCGCAAACGACCTTTCCATTTTTTTTTAATTCCACAAAGTGAGGCTTTGTGCTCATTTGGCTTTCCACCATATATGCACTATTATTACCAGGAGCGGGAATAATCGCACCTTGACGGTTCAGCAACTCCTCTGACTTTTTCACGATGGCTTGTAGCGCTACGACGGGAAGAGAAACAATGTTTGTATCAACCAGGTCAAGAGACAAACCTCGACTCGATGTAGTTGTTGATGTACCAGCAGAGGTCGAGTCTTCATTTCCTGTTTCATTGGCCATCTTTGCTCTCTGGAAATTGTCCATGTGCTGATCCCTCTGCTCATTTCTCTTTTTGAACCAGTCTGTTTCGGAAACGTAAAACTTTCTAAAATCATTTGCCAATTTGAAAGGACCTTTGTTGAAAATGGCCGACTCTACATCATTCCTTTGCTGCTGTAATAAGACGCTCATCTCACGGACAAAGTCTGAAATCTCGTTTTCCTTGAAATGGACAGCTCTTTTGATCATTGCGTTGCACGATTCCGAATCGTTTGTGTAGTACGGAACCGGTGGTTCGCCCAAACCTGCATTACGTCGGACACTTTTTGCCATACATTGATTTATCATAGAGCTCTAGAAAAATCACGAAATACAGTCATTAAAAATAGTGTTTAATGTTGATTTATCTCATATTTCTCAAAAACCCTCAGGTTCAATGTACAAATTTATTCTTCCCAAAAATATCTAAATTAGGAAACGTCGTTACCCTTTCCAGAATATAATTGTAGAAACATGGTTCTTGGTTGAGAGGCAGATAACGTCTTTCCTTCTGATCCCACACAGCCTTACAAAGTGACAGCTTTGTCGCAAAATCTTCCTCGTTGATGGCGTCAACAAGACCTGCATTTGAATTGAATATTTGTATTTTTAAGAGTTTAAATTTCATAATATCATGTTTGCGTATTTTGCAGTGTCCGGTTCAATTAATCACTGATACTACCCCGATTGAGTTACCCCATGTGATATTATAAACTAATATCATGAAATGAGGTGTATATTAGTTAGAGAACCGCCAGAAACGGCGGAAAATTACTTAAGTTGGGGGGAGGGGGGTCCGACAAACTTTAATTGGGATGATCCGTCATAGACCACCCAGAATTTGGGGAAGATATCACACTCCGAAGCTTGGTCATTTGACTTATTATTAGTTCTGGGCAGAAATTTATTTGGTACTTTCATTTTGACCCTTCCTCAGTTATCTTTTCCTTCTTTTTTCTTTTCGTGTGTGTGGAGGGAGGGGGGGGGGGGTTAGCCCACTCACTTTTTATCTTGGGGGGGGGGGCTACACAGCCTCCCTAGCCCAACCGCCTGTGTAAACCGCCCACTCGGTTCGAGTCATTAAATCAAGTAAAATTCCGTCGGGCCCCCTTAACATTTTTCTCAATGACCCTCATTTAGAGGATGGTTTAACAGCTAACTACACTATATATTTTTTATGATATTACTGATAATGATTCCTGTATGATTATGTCGCTATGATCTTATTTTAATTTACGTATACTCAAAGAAAAAGTTTAAGGTCCTTCAATCTGTACATAAATAAAGTATTACCATTTTCCCACGTGTCTCCAACTCGACGACCGAATATGTCTGCCAAAATCTCCTTCTGGTGCGCTTCAGGGACGTTAGATTTTTTCAACTGGGTCTTGCAGTTTTCACGGAAGTGCATGAAACAACGGAGATGAACAGCGTATGGAAAGTTGTATTTCAGTGCCTTGAAAAGCTCTTCTTCTCCATCTGTTCCGTAAGCCAGAACATTTCGCGCCTCTTTATTCAAGCCTACCAACTGAAAATGTACAAAGTGAAAAGAATAAGTTAGGACGGCATTTAACAAATATGTCACGTAGAATTTTTACAGTCCATAGGCCTGTAGATTACGTTATAGAAAGCGTGACGTACAGAATTATATCCACAGCGAGTGCATATATATTCCTCACATACTCCATTTGAATATGTTAAATGTGTAAGTCAAATTTAGTTTGTAAAACAACTTCCGTGCCCGTACTTTCCGCCATATATATTCACACTATTTCTGTAGTTTCCTATTGTTTTACAAAATAAAAGGTCTTCACAATAAAATATTTCTATTCATATTGCTTTTTTAAAGAGGCTGTCAAGTCCGTTCTACTCATACGTTCTGCACAGGCTTACATTCCAATGGTCGGGACCCGACCGTTGGAATGTTATTAATATTTCGTATATTTTGAACTTTCTTGAATTGAATCTCTAGTCTGTATTCATTTACAAGCATAGCGAACCAGAAAGTGTTAAAATTTAGTATAATATATATCTAATCATATTTTACAACTGTAGCACTCAACTGTAGAGTTCAAAATGTAAAAAAAGCGTTTGTTTACATTGCGGACTTGACAGCCTCTTTAAGCGGTTTCTTTTTAATTTCATTTTCTTTTTTGAAAGATTTCTTTAATAAAATAACTCGGCAACGAATAAAATCTTGAAAGAATATCGTCGCCATTTCTTGTTTTGAAACTGACACGGAAGCAACTTCATTGTTATGAATAATACCCGGGTATTGCCGTATTCTAATTGATTATATTGTACCATGTGACAAAAAAGCTATTCGAGACTCTTATTGTTACGGTAATTTTCATGTGTGAAAAACGCTATCGAGTTTGATTGGTTAATATTTTTTACATGTAAAAATACAGCGGGTATAGATTACTAGTTTTTATTGCATGGCATTTGAGTTATATGCATGTATATATAATAAAAGAAGAACCCATTGCTCAATTACAGGTTTTGTGTTATATTCTATATAGTTTCTCACGCACGCGAGTGCTTTACGATAACCTAGATCAGCGTACAAAAAACGAAAGGGAAAGACTTACTTTCGAAAAGAAATAGTTGTACGCATCAAATGACTTGGTCTGGCTCAATAGCATCGGTCCAATCATGATTGGATGGTGATCACCTTCTTTAGTAACCACCTTTCGATTTCGGTAAGTAGTTACTGTCAAATTGAAGCGACCCAAATTGAACGTTGGATCCACACCCAAAACGCTAAAGGACTTTGGCTCAGTGCAAAAGGTGATGAGGTCTTCTATCTGCCAGTTATAGGCAAGGACACATCGTAATTCTGGGGCACCAGTGACCTCTCTAATGAAAAGCTTTTCATCGTGTTGCAACTGTTCTCTCTTACACTGTGTTAATAATATAACGAGGGAGTCGATATGATTGATGGACGGACCTTTGGATGTCGATTTCATATACTTTGCCTGGTCTCTATTACGAGGCAAATCACTTGGAGAGTTAGCCCTTCGGATACCACCTTTTTCGTTGAGCACTTTGTGATACGCTGATTTCGGGTTTTTCGCAGAGCACACGTCTTTCAAACGCGATCTAGTACTTTCCTTTGTTCTGATGTATCCAGGAGCACTTTGTGTCTTAGCATTACCGTGAGCTTCTAGTGCGATACGATGAGGCTGTCCATCAAACAGATATTGGATGAATACAAGCGTCGGATAGTCTAATTAAAAAAGATAAGGGATTTTAAGGATTTGTAAAGCAAAATTATTATTTCGTGATGTACGCTAGCTCTTTCGAGAGTCAACAGTGTCGCGAATTATTATCTTAAGGTATGCACCATTACGATACTAAGTGAAACCTTTAATTAATAGAACATTTTCATTCTATTCCTATACTATTCCTGTTCTATTCCTATTCTATTCCTATTCTAGTCCTATTCTATTCCTATTCTATTCCTATTCTATTCCTATTTTATTCCTATTTTATTCCTATTCTATTCCTATTCTATTCCTATTCCTATTCTATTCCTATTCTATTCCTATTCTATTCTATTCTTATTCTATTCCTATTCTATTCCTATTCTATTCCTATTCTATTCCTATTCTATTCCTATTCTATTCTTATTCTATTCCTATTCTGTTCCTATTCTATTCCTATTCTATTCCTATTCTATTCTATTCCTATTCTATTCTATTCCTATTCTATTTACACTGCACTAGCAATCAAAATCAAGTTACGTTCCAAAAATGTGACATATTTTTTCAAGTCAGAAGATGATTTATTTTTAAAATATATCCTTTTAATAGGATGCTCATCACTATTATCACGAAGAAATGGTTCTTCATTGCTAACACGTGTTGGTAGAACATGGTATTGGACTCCATTATTCTTCCACGAACCCATGTCGTCACATTTCCAATCTTCGTAATTAGTTAAGTCGCTCGTATCCAACAGAAAGCATACATCATCCGAAATCGAATTTGGAACGCGGGTACAGGTCTTGGCGGAGTCTGGGTGCGTCAACAGTACAGGCAAAACCTCTTGTACGCTTTTGACTGCTGACGTCCATTCGTAAACTGGTGTTTCGATGTTGTCGTTGTAATGGTAGACAATTCTATGAAATAAAATTAAATTTCAATTAAACCTTTGTAATGAAATGCATACTACAATAAATATTGGTCCGATTAATGCTAGAGACTGATGATTCGTGTCAAGTATACTAAATCTAGCGATTTCCAGGCGAGCTGAGAAAATATTTTACCTTCTTTCGATACTGCTAAATTCATCATCATCATTCTCACTGTTACTTGGCGATGTGCTTTTACGTGGTCTAGACAATTTAGGAATAAAACTCGGCAAATCAAAATGGCAGAGTTCGCTTACAAAAGCTAAATAATTGATCACTATTTTTTAACTCACGTTTTGCAGACTCGAGGACAATCGCCTTCAAAATCAGATTCTTCGCTCGAAGAGATGGTTAAAACCTAAAAATGTTGATTTTAGAAGTTGAGATAAAGAGCATTTGCATATATTCACTCAGGGGCGTAGGAACTGGGCGGCCCAATTCAGTTTCAAAATACCAGAAGTACCCTTTTTTGTGATGATGAAAAGTGCCCTTTTTGTACAAGCTAATGTCGCTGTAAATACTAAATTAACATCAAATGTGCCCTTTTTGTTCAGTGGAAATTTCGATGTTTTTTTTAAAAAAAAATGGTAAGAAAACGTCCAATTTCGGTATAGTATGACAAGAACATTTTTCTTCCTGCCCCCTCCCCCTCCCCCCCCCCTTCTCTCGCCAACATGTCCGGGAAATATTTTTAGGTGCCCTTGGCCTTTTCAATATCCAAAAGTGCCCCTGGAAGCCGGTACCCTCCAGTCTTTTGATGCTTCCTACGCCCCTGTATTCACTCAACAATTTCCCAAATTTACCTGGATAAGTACATTGTTTTACAAGTACATTTTGTTCAATAGATTTATCATTATATTACATTGTTTTATTTTATCTTTATTCCAATCACTATAAATGATGTGTCAGAGTCCTGAAACAATTAAACGTGTCAGAGATTGAAGCGGTGTAATTGGAGCAAAAAGATCAAAGTATGCTGTAATAAAAGTACATGGAAAAGAGGAATACAGTTGAGCGGTCATAAAGTTATGAGCTACGTGTCATATCATAATATATGTGTTTCGTACGTACTTCCTTTCTTTTAATACATTCACGATTGTTCTGTTGCTCTGTCTCCTCAATGGATTGTGCATGTTCTAAGACGTTTGCATGATCGCTGCAGTCCTGGTTTTGAGACATGCGCTTAAGCTCGTCGTGCAAAGTTTCACCAGTATAACAAGGGGAGTGTTGAAGGTTGTCGTCGTCACATTGGTTATCGTCGATTTGAACTCCTTGCTCAGATGTTATTTCATCACCATCAATCGTCTGTACTGGATTACTAGCGCGATAGATTTCATCGTTGTTATTCTGTTCTTTTGGTGATTCCCTGCTACCCCGCTTGTCGCTATTTATAAGGAAAAAAACAGTTAAATAAAGCTGAGGCAGAAAAGAAACATACACGCATTTTATTTGTTTTTTATTACAAGGCCGAATTGGGATCGCTGCAATTGGAGATATTTAGGTTGAATCGGCTCACTCGAACCCCAGATAAATGTACGAAAAGAATGATGGAACAACTCACAAACCTTTCTGAGTCACGCTTGACCATGATTGCCAAGGATTGAGGGCCATCCAACTTAGACGATGCCAATCGCTTCCATAACCATTGACAGCATTCTTCAGCAGCCTTTTCTTGAGAACCACAGAATCGCTTGATAAGCCCAGCAGATTTTCCACCAACAGTAGATGGAACTTCGTGCGTGTCCAAGATAAACATTTCCGACTTGTAAAACCCAGTTAGAAATATGAATTTGCCACACGTGTAAAAACCGAACGAAGGATCTCGTGATGAAAACGAAGCGACTGCTTTTAGCAAATTATCCTTACCACGCGGTGATAAAGCATTCTCTTGGAAAGGAATTTCTTCTGTGAAACTATAAAAATAACCTGGGAGGCAGTTATTATTTTTCAATAAAGTATAAGCTTCCATTACATCATAATGAAGTGAAACGTCACGGAATCTATTAAAGACATGTGGCTGCGTAACGATGATTACTTCGGCTGTGGTAGCCAAGTCCCCCCAGGAGAGGAGTCTAGACGAATACAACTCGTGAGCAATCAACATGGTCAGGAACGCGCATGCATTTGTTGCATCATCTGCAATAACCAAGCCGACATCAGGGACTGACTGTTGACTTTTTTCTTCTTCGGGTCTTTGAATGATTGCTTGATCAACATTCTGTATTGCTGTTGCCTGGCTAACCTTCAGGTGAATTTCGGATAAATTTTCGTCGATCACGGAACTTGCTCTCATTTCTTGTCCAACATTCTCAAGTACATTCTTGATGGATGGTCGTGACGAAGGTTCAAATGTAGTGCACAATTCAAACGTGTTCTTCAAGCCGGCCCATTCACCACTTTGCAGCGATTCGTACTTTGATTGCATAACTGGCCTCTCGTTCTTCCTCGCAAATTCTTGAAACAAAATTAATGGCGTTCTTACGTGGTTCTTCATATTTAGTTCGTACGGATGCTGTAATCCTGGGTTGATTAAATTGAACACAACCATACCGAACGCCCATATGTCAGCCATCATGAGATCAGCGAGCGAAGCTTCAGTAACTGCTGGGCTATTCATTAGAAGTTCCGGTGCCATGAATCCAAGAGTACCTAAGTTATCAAATTTTCAAGTTACTTTATCATTTTCTATACTTCGTACGCGTTTTTGCTATGGGGTTTATACCATAGATCAATCTTGTCGCATTGCGCACACTAGAATATTGGGGGCGGATTTCCGGACATATTCAGTAATATTTTCGTAAATTTATCAAACATTTTCCTACAACTATTACTTTTCAATCCGATAACTATTACGTTTCAAAACTATTACTTTTCACCTGAAATATTTTCAAAATTTGCCTGAAGAAATTGTATGGATATACCTAACGAGATAGAGACTGGGGGGTCACCCCCGGTAGTGTCGCCCCTGCCGATAGCGTAAGCAAATTCCTGTACTGTGCTGCGACGTTTTCTATACTTTTTCATCACTCATATGCTGTAGTCTGCACTAAATATTCAACATGACGAAGTCTGCGCCAAAGCGAAAGCGGTAAACTTGCAACTTTTTAATATTGCTACGCATTAAAACCTGAATTTCCGATCAAAATCAAACAAGGCGGCTGCTTGGAAAAACGTATATACTCATCTTTATCTTATTTGAAAAGGAAGAAGTTGTTGTCATTTCGGCGGCGAAGATGTTTACTTGTTCCAAATCAGCAGGTATTGGGAACGTGCGACAAAGTGAGCCTTATATACGCATATATATTGTACACTGTAGCGTTAAGGGTTGATCGTTGCCATGTTTATTTTTGCTGAACTGTACATAACACATGGGTATCATTAAAAATTTGCAACCTTTTTGCTGACAGGAAAATCAGACCGCGGAGAAAATACACGCGAAAAAACCCCGCGACCCGCGAAAAAAAACCGCGACCCGCGAAAAGAACCCGCGACCCGGCGACAGTTGTATTATCTCCGCCAGTATTTACCCCCCCTGTCAAAATAGCACACAAAGCAAAACAATTGGACATTTAAAATGTACAATTGTTTTGCTTTGTGTATTGTTTTGACGTGAGGATTTCAACATTGTTTTTCGTTTTATTAAACGAGGGTAAATACTCGCGGAGATATTTACATTAAAAAGCTATTGAATTGTAAAATAGCAAATTGGGGCAATGCCAATGTCGACAAAGAGTTTTACATGTAATATAAACAAAATGCTACCGCTTGGTTTATACATCAAATAATTATTTTAAAAACGGCTGGTTATTTGGAAAAACCGAGAAAACGAAAATTAACTTAAACGTAAACTCCTAGTACAAGCAACTAATATGTGTCGAGTGCCTTGTTTCTCGAGCTTCCTCGATAAATTTTGTATTGATCTCAAAAGTATCAAGTAAATAAACTGAATCCTTGGTTATCTTTATCAGTTCAACAGGTACTCAAACATTTCGCACTTATTGTATGTGCGTACTGTTACGTTTATTCCCCATCCGCGTGTTTTATCCACCCATCCATGTCCCCCCCCCCTATTCCGTGTTTTATCTCCTCATCCGTGTTTTATCCCCTCATCCGTATCCGTCCCATCCGTATCCGTGTTTTATCCCTACCCAATAAAAAGTTTGTTAAATAATACATTTACACTTCGCGTCCCATTTATAGAAACACGGAAAATGTTTTCTATTTCTTAACTGTATTGCACGTTGTGTGCGCGTTTTAAAAGAGAGAATGCTTATTTTTATAGAAAAAAGAACACTAATTGTAGCCTATCATAACATTTAAACATACCTCTATTCAGGTGCGTGGTTTTCGATTTTAAGATTTGCTCCGTGCGGATGTCTCTTGATCGACTTTCGCCGAAATCTGCCAGCTTGCAGATAAGTGGTTTTACTGAAACCATACGGTTGACAATTTCTGTATCAGAGAATTGGCTGTAATGGTGATTAGAAACCAAAACATTTTCTGGTTTTAAATCACGATGAGTAATACTGTTGTGATGGAGGTATTTTAAGCCAGACGCAATGTCAAAAGAGGCATGTTGGAATATTGAGCGATGCATTCCATCGCAACTAGACTGTTCGCAAAAGGCCAGAAATCCAGCTAGGTTGTGTACAATTAAATCGTGTCCGATGGGCTTAAAATCGAAATAGACATATTCCATCAGAAGTGCATATCGGTCAAGGCAGATTCCTTTAAATTTGACGATGTTTGCATGATTTAATTGACTAATAAGTCGTGCTTCTTTCAGTAGTAATTTTCTTGCTTCAAGACTCGAGTCCAGCAGTTTTTTAACCACAATCTTTTCATGTTCACCCGGGAGCATCGCTGTAAACACAACGGCAAACCCGCCGTCGCCAATTTCATCTTTATCAACCAGTGATCGATATGAATATTGCGATAAACCGGAAACATCTACGGTTTCGAGATTTTTTGATTGAGTACAATTTTTTAAACTGCCAAACAACGACATTTTATTGATCTGAATGACTACACTGCATGAAAAAATACAGTTTGCAGCGAGTTCAATTGTTCACACTTCAAAGTTCACTCCACTTGTACCTGTCACGGTGTCAGGGCCAGGGTATTAAATTTTATAAAATTTATAAAACTTTTATAAAATTTATAAAAATTTTATAAAATTTATAAAAATTTTATATTTAAAATTTTTTATATTTTTATAAAAGTTTTGTATTAAATTTTATTTATTTTTTTTTTATTTTTTTTCACGGTGCCTGCAGGGCCAGGGTATTAATTTTTTTATTTTGATCTGAATGACGACACTGCATGAACACTTCAAAGTTCGCTCCACTTGTACCTGTCACGGTGTCAGGAGCGGGGCGAAACATCGCGAGATATTATATTTTATACTAAATACGCGAGAGCATTTTACACCATATCCGCGTTTTACCCTATTTACGTTTTACCCTATTTACCGTTTTACATCATATCCGCGTTTTACCCTATCGGGTAAAACGCGGATTTGCCTTTGAAAGAGCCGAAAAGCATATTTTACACCATATCCGCGTTTTACCCGATCGGGTAAAACGCGGATATGCCTTTGAATGAGCCGAAAAGCATATTTTACACCATATCCGCGTTTTACCCTATCGGGTAAAACGCGGATATGCCTTTGAAAGAGCCGAAAAGCATATTTTACACCATATCCGCGTTTTACCCGATCGGGTAAAACGCGGATATGCCTTTTAATGAGCCGAAAAGCATATTTTACACCATATCCGCGTTTTACCCGTTCGGGTAAAACGCGGATATGCCTTTGAAAGAGCCGAAAAGCATATTTTACACCATATCCGCGTTTTACCCGATCGGGTAAAACGCGGATATGCCTTTTAAAGAGCCGAAAAGCATATTTTACACCATATCCGCGTTTTACCCGATCGGGTAAAACGCGGATATGATGTTTAAAACATATTTGAGAGAAAAATAGGTCATCCGTCCGTCCGTCCGTCCGTCCGTCCGTCCGTCCGTCCGTCCGTCCGTCCGTCCGTCCGTCCGTCCGTCCGTCCGTATCAGCGTTTTACCCTAACCCCTTTGGAATCCAGCTGGGAATACAGAACAGTTTATGCATGTGTGTTAATTGCGCTTAGAGTTCTCTTGAAATATGTCAGGCATTCTATCATCGAAAATGTGGGAAGTAGGGAAGTGTTCTTATTCAGGATGTTTTTAACGTAGCCCCAAAAGTTTCTACCAATGTAATTGTCGTGATTAAATACTTCATTGTGGTTTTGAGTTGTCTGGTCATCGAGATTGTTTTGACTGGCATTACGCAATTTCTCACGCAATGTGCGGGACACGTATTTAATTTCATGAGGTTCGGCGTTTGAAAGTTTTAGTTTTTTCAGAGATTTCTTCAACTCCTTTACTGTTTGGTCTCTGTACTTATCCACCAGTGCTTTATCCGCGGAATCTTTTTGGCATGACCGAAGTTATCAGCAAAATAATTGTAGACCACATTATTTAATTGCAAGATGCTAGAGCTTGGCCGTTAGTTATTGGCCGTTGACCATTCTGCGTCGTTTTGGGGGAGTTTTATTCCTTTCTTTAACACTGGGAAATTCTAATTACTTGCGTCGTGTGCCATGGCATCGTTCTCCTCAACAGTAGAAGAATTAAAGCTATCAGTAGAGTTCTCAGTAGATTGTTGTTCAAGGTCCGTAAGCAGTTCGTCATTTAATCCATGTATTACACGACAACTACGTTGATGCATTTTAAGACCCCGCGTTCCTTTGAATGATTTACCACAATAGCATTTCACATCATCAGTATTCGAGATCCTAACAGCAGAATGTATAACCGGCATCTGGTTAACTGTGTTACCAGGAAGATTTTGATTCAACTTTTGTTTACATCGCCAAGAATGGCGGCCGAGTGTAACGAACTTTTTGCCACAGAACGAGCAAACAGCGCAAATGGCCAACATAGCAACAAGGCTTGAACGAATCATGATTTATATCCTAGTAAATCCGATAGTTATAATATTTTTTATTAATAAACTGTGGTTCAAGTAAGAAAATAACGATGAAAACGAACAACATGTGCAGAGGGCGTATAAACAATGCTGCTCTGCTCAATGCTGATATAATGCATAATAATAATAATGGAAACTTTATTTATTGATTATTAGGATATATACAACTACAATGATAAACCTCGCTTTACAGGTAGTTTATCAATGTCTACTTGAATTGATACTATATATTTATTGTACAATAATTATTTTAAGAAGGATTATATTAACATTAATTTTGGAATATCCCACACCTTGTTTCGTTTACAAAATACATAATATGATGTTCGTATGCATATGTTCACGATTTGCTTTTTTATGTATTTACTATACTTGGCATCACATTTAAGGCTACTTAGCATGCCATCGAAATTTTCAGAAGATCGGGCCAAAAACTCCGAGGGTACTCAAGGATAAATTGACGAACTTGACTTTATCATAATCTACTTTCTGCTCATTGATTAGATCACGGTACTTTTGACGCTTATGATTGGCATTAACTTGCAGATTGGATTCATAACCGACTGTAAGCTCGAGGATGTATAAACATCTGTTTTCAGTCACCAGCAGAAGGTCAGGTCGTAAACGATCTCTCGTGATAACAGATGGATTCATAAAACCAGGAATGTCCGCGTAAAGTGTGGAATTTTTCACAGCAGTAAGAGTGGATGCGAGAAAATTTAAAACAGAATCGTGTCGCCATGTAAACCGGCCTTCGTCTAAATATGTCTTACATCCAGCAATCACATGGAGCAGCGTTTCAGGTGAGGAGCAGAAAGAGCAATCGGATGTTGATGATAGTCCCCATTTTAATAGGTTATTTCGT